ATTCCTAATCTTATAAATTAACCAAATCCATATACAACACACCTTTTCAAATTTCCACTTTCCTTGTTTCTTTGCATTTTTCGGAAAAGAATTAGATTTATTTTGTTGCTTTCAAATTTTCATCTTCAGTATTTTGATCTGAGTCAGTCGAAATACTAAAAAACGAAAAAAAAATTAATTTTCCCCAATTTTATCGAATAAACTTAGAAATGGGTGCACCTGATAATTATCTGGTATATAGAAATCTAATTTTAAAATTACCAAAATTACTTAAAACAAATTGCAAGCAATCGTCACTAAAAAAAGGTATGTTTGATCCGATTGTATTATCTGATTCTATCGATATAGGAAATCTGCGAAAGGCTGCATAAGACACATAGATAATGAAATATTGAACTGATATATGAAAAAACATATCAAACTTTATGATATATCAAATTTTGTTTATAAGAGTAGTAAAAGACAACTAATGCTGCAGAAGCTTTAATTAAAGACAAGAAGAGACATTAGTAACAAACACCGTATTATCTTAGTTTTTAATCGATGTCTTTAATTTTTCAACCAATCATTAACAACGGAAAAACAATTAGGGTACTGGTTAGTGGTCGGAATTTTCAAATAAAATAAATAACCTTGTCTTTCATTCTGGCTCTTCTTGTCGGTATCCCATCTCATCCATACAAATAGGGCAATAATAAAAGCAGTCAGTCCGGAAAACAAGATGAAAAAATATCCAATTGGCTCGAAATCATTCTCTGTTGATATCACGTTGGCCATCAACTCCTGAAAATTTGTTCAAATACAATTATTAATTCAACTCATTTTTTGCTCGAAATTTCAGAAATACAACCTTCTTCTTACGAAAGGCTAATAAAATAGCGGTACAAACGAAAGAAGTGCGCCTGAATGGATATACTATCTTATGATAATCACAATAATATTGCATATCAGAGATAATGGTATTATTATTATGACTACCGTAAGACAACGGATCTGGTTCACGAAGACCATGATTACATTCCCGTATTAATATAATAGACATTTAAGATGAAGGAAATGTGGGTGTTCGGAAGAGTTAACAACTTCTCGAACTCGCGGTAAGTTAATTATCAGATAAGTAGAAAATACACATACCAGGCTGGGTGGGAGTCGAAATGCGAAAAGAGAACTACACCTAAAAATTTCTGAAGACCACGCGATATCTCGGGTTTTAATGATGGAAACAGCAATCATTTGGTTTTTCCATTTCGTCCTTCTGTTCCGTTATTGCGACTAATCGCGTCAAATAGTGAATGATTTTGAAACTTAATTTATATTCCGATATTTTTGTCACAACACGTCATCTTCATTTCAAACACGTGGACTTCTGAAACACTTTCTGTGAATAAGTGGATCCGTATGAATATCAGGAAAGGGACTGGGAAATCCCGGAATTCTTTGCAAACTGGCTAATTGGCAACTTTTCAAACGAACTTTAAAAATGTCTGTACTGTTTTCTACGGAAGACAAAATTTGCATTCCGTTGCATATTACCATATAATTTGGCCTTTTTTGGTTGCTAGGAATTTTTGGATCTTTTTAGAAGGAAACAGATGAGGCGAAGATGGAAAATCTTTGTTTAAGACTAATTCCTGTCTTTATTCTATGTAACATGTCAGTGTTAAAAGGTCGTGGATGGATGTTTGATCGCTAAAAGTATGCAAATGTTTCAGGGATCACATCCAAACTCGCTGATTTAATGGAGGATTCTAGTGACCTCCGTGATCGGCCAAGTATTGTGTCACGTTTCTTTTCAAGTCTAGCTGTGGTTCGTTCTTTTTTTCCTTATATTATCAGATTCAAAATTTATTTGAGACTTTTCTGTAACACCATGCTTTTAGAGCCTTCTGTACATTTATGCTACTGCATTCGACCATGTTTTTGGAATACAGCCGTGTATGTTCCAATTTCTGAAGATACTTTATGAGAGCTATATAATGATTGTATGTCCATCTCAGACTTACTTGAAGTGGTCAAAATGCTAATCCACACTATGTCTCACCAACCAATTCGTCATGAACCGTTTTGTTGACGCTTAAAATCAGAGAAACAGATTCAGTCATATTTTAATAGAACTCTCTGCTGTCTTTTCTACATCAGGACAAAATAGTCGATGTGAACACCGCAAGTTCTCAATATTTGGAAAAACTATGAAATTTGTCAAGTCATTTTTTATGTTTTCCAGAAATATCAGTATTACTTGGATAAGTTAACACCGTATAGTTCGATTCGATGGGGAATCGCGATTGCTTTCGTTATCCTCTTTCTTTGGCGAGTCGTCGAACTACAAGTATGGCATTTTTGTTCTTTTCATTTTTGTTCTATTTTTGTTGCTCAGAGCTTTACGTTCTGGCCAACGATGGCCGATTTGTATGAGTATAGGAGTAGAAATATATGGTTTTGTCAATAAACGACCTAGTTCGCATGATTCGACAGTGATATTTTTCTTCATTAGACATGCATCTGTGTTGTTATCGATTATAACGCCTCTACTAGACGGTCATATTGTTTTGATGAAGCGCTGGTCATTCTTACACTACATTCTTTACTTTGATATCTTGCACATTTCAGGGTTTCTACATTGTTACTTATGCTCTCGGAATTTATTATTTAAATTTGTTCCTTGCGTTCTTGACACCAAAAATTGATCCAGCACTTGATTTTGAAAGCGAAGGTGGGAAAACTTTTTCTCATTCATTTCTAGAAACTGTGTTTTACTGGATAGCAGCACTGTGTCAACTGATTTTTGGTGAAATATAACAGTTAAACATCCTTTCTGATGTTATTAATATCTTCCCTGGCATTTTTTATTAGTATTCCCGGCGCAATTTTCGAAATCCACGGTTTCGAAATCGTCCAATGTATTCTGTGCTTAAAAAACTAAAGAGTTTTTTTTTCGAATAAATCATTTTAGATGAAGATGGACCAACTTTGCCGTCTAAGGGAAGTGAAGAATTTCGTCCGTTTATGAGACGTTTACCGGAATTTAAATTTTGGTAAGTTGTGGATGATTTAGTTTACTCTTCCTTTATGCACATCTTTATAATGGAAATATCATCACAGAAACTCCTAGATCATTGCTATGTTCATAGAGAAGACTGGACATTAAGGTTCAGGTGCAGAAATATTCTTCAATTAAATGATCCCATTTTCAATAAATTTGTCAGAAAAATATTACCGCTTATTTTTCAAGAGAACTGCCCGTTTCCAAGAAACTAGGATCATCTTTCAGGTATTCAGCTATTAAAGCAACAGTCATTGCGTTTATATGCACATTTTTTTGAGATATTCAATGTTCCAGTTTTCTGGCCCATACTCGTCATGTATTTCATCGTCTTAACTTGTCTGACCATGAAACGACAAATTATGGTACAGTTTTGCTTTGAAAATAAAGTATTTACTCCACATAGTTAAATATTTTTAAAAATAAAGTACTTTCTGCATCTTTTGCAAGATGAATCAAGCTACTTATTTTACTGGGATTCTACGTTCTAGGTACCGAATGCTGGCAATCGCTTTATTGATTACCCGACCATCATTGTTTTTGAAATTTTATGACCATTTTTTTTTTTTGCGCATAATTCACCAGTCTAATGTTTATGTTCAATTTCAGCATATGATAAAATACCGCTACATACCGTTTACTACGGGAAAACCGCGAATGCGTGGAAAAGAAGATTCCGGTGTGGTTGTGCAAGGCTAGTGCCTACATACTACTTCGTCTGTATGTGACTATCAGTTCTTTCAGTTCTGGTTTGAAGCAGTTACCGTCGTTCCTCGTTGTTCTAGCTTACTTTCAAATATTATTTATTGCTTTGCTCTGGTGATTCACTTATTTGTGAATTTGCTGATTTGATACTCAGTGTTAGAAACGAAAATTTTGACTTGTTTTATAATTCTTTTCAGAATAGTTTCAGTCTTTTGTTTTGAAATTCTAATTATTTTTTATAATGATTAGAGTGATATCGAAAACAGTTTACGGAAAAATGACGAATTTGGGAGAGTTGTTCAAATATTCAACAAGATGTTGCGAATCTTACTAATAAATTTTATATTACTGTTTGGAACTTGAAAAATATTGAGATTGATTGAAAATTTTTTGTTATTTTCAGCTGAAACTACTGTGATTTGAAAGAAACGTTGCACAATCAGAACGCGCTATTTCTTCTTGATTCTTAGCGACAAACAATTTCTTCAGCAGATGTACTGAAAGTGAACTGCCTTCATTTCACAAAAATTCTTAGTTTTATAATTCAGTCCTCATTTCCTAGTATCATTGATAAGTAGCATGCGCGATATAAATGATAGTGCAATCATTATCCGGTTATCAATAGTGATTAATGTTGTTGTTGTTGTATTGTAACGAAGCTGATATCTAGTTTCGTCTAATTTTCACCTGTTTGATTTTATATGTGGTATTAATCAACTGCAGCTAATGATGTCGATTGTTCTGTCCTGCGGCTGTTATAAATATGTTGAAATTTGTGTATTTGAATGGTTTGACTATATAGGGAAAATATATTTCAACTTTTACAAAAGTTATTCGAATTCTATAGAGGTGCTTATTACTAATTACTTTCATATTATAAGGTAGGTTTACGTCTTATTCTATAAGAAGATGAAAGTAGGATATAATGGATCGGAATTCTGCTGTAACTTATCACGATAATAATATATCGGTTTAGTTAAGTTCTATTTTTGTTGGCCAAAGGATAGTGATACTTAATGATTGTTCTGTCTGCTCTTTAAATTGAACATTTTAAACTGTGGTAAAACTATCACTTCGTATCTGTTTTGTGGTGTATTAAATTATTTGGCATTAACAACTTTGTAATGAAAATTCTTGTTTCATTTATGTGAATGTAATCAGTATCACTAATATCTCCTTTCTGCATTCGTTCAATATACATCAATTTTTATCATGTGACTATTTATTTCCGGTTGGCCAAGCAACCCTGTGGGTTATTATTGCACAGTTCTACTTATCATAATGGTAAGTGTGAGCAAACTGTATTTGTCAGTAGGAAGCAGCTGCCTTTTTATTTTAACAATTATCATATAATAAAAGAATAAATGGGTTTTTCACAAAAAAATTATGAAATATTTCCTAGATGGTCTTCTTCCTGAAATTCATTTCTACATTTTATTTGATATGGTCTTTGTAAGTCATAAGTTTTAAAAGTGGGTAGATTTCACAGCATTCATTGAATTGTGTACTCCACTCTCCATGTTGGGGTCACATGAAGTGGTTAACTTTTGCTTTCCGTTGTTTATGTACATCGTGTTTTGTTCTAGCCGAGCTTGTTTATTGTGAGGAAATGGAGTGACTGAAATATTTTTGTAGATGGTGCGAGATTCATTCGATGGTGGACATACCGGCGATCCAGAACGTGATCTTGCCTACGAAAGAGAACATGTGCGACGAGGTTTGTTCACTATAACAATCAGAAGTTTGTTAATGCGGTTTCAGATGAATTCATAGAACTATGTCGGAGTGATGGAAGGATGGGAGGGAGGAAACAAAGAAAGAAAATAGAGCTTTTTTATATTTGAAGTAGTGATTAGGATTGTTTCAAGTTATCTTTAAAATTATAGATGTAAAGTGTGAAAAAAATTTTACATAAGAGAAAGAGGGTTTAGAGAAAATGGTATCATACAGGTCTATCGCTACAACTGAAAAGATTTCGCAAACACCAAGTGAGGAAGAACGACGTCTTACCTAATAACTTTAAGATGAATTCATATGCGGAATTTGGAAATATGTTTTATTTAAGCAGTGAAGGGTTTTTTCCGTGCGGATTCCGATCCGGACACAGGATGGATAAGTAACGTAGAGTATGTAAAGGTAGGAGTAGTCCGAAAAGTTTCAAACAAACTTAAAAGACAGCGAAAAATATTGACTGATTAATGCGAATGAATTTGAATCCTAAATAGCCTTTTCCAAGATTAAATGGAAAACTTTATCAAACACACAATCGAGAAAGCAACTATATATGGACTACATCGTATGAATCGACAAATCGACATTTTGAATATTGTAATTATCCTGTGAATATTATGCGGCGCTTGGTTTTAGATACGATGAGTGATGAAGTGGTGCCGGACGATGTCGCCCAATATCTAATTTATTTCAAGCGGATGATTGATGAAGAAAATGTTGTTGAAATACATAATCTTTATGAACATGGCTTCCCGGATCTTACTGAGCGTTATTTTCAGCAACGTCTCTGGCCAAATGAAGAAGCGGTAGAAAATATTGTTGGCTCGGGTTCGTTATTGCTCTATTTTTGTGATAGAAGATGTTTTTTTTAGGTAGTCTTTCAAGAGACAAAAAATCTCCAAAATTTTGATATGAAATGCAATTTTAATATCACCTCTATGGCTTCAAGGAAGTGCGGTAGTCACAGGTCTTAATATCGCTTTGAGAAAACCAGAAATCCTCTAAGCGATATTTGCAAGTGATAGCAAGCTGGATCTAGAATACTTGCACCTAGATAATTTTGCATGATATCCATTTGCGTTGTAGTGGTTTTTAATCATTTTATGATGATTTTGTGACGAAATTCTTCAGTCATTTTATTAGAGAATGAAAATTCTGGTATTTCTGTTTTTAAGCAGCAAAAACAAAATTGTTGGCTTTTTAGACAGCCGAATCTTCATTATTCTTTACAAGGAATTATACTTTCGTCACGTTTACACCCGGATGCAACGTGGACCATCTTTGGCTCATCGTTTTGATTCATATCAAAATTACCAGGTTAGCTGAAGAAAAAAGTATGCACATAGGACGCAAAGAAAAATTCTAGTTTTAATTAAGAGTGAAATTTATCACTGCAGGAATTATTTTGTGAAGTATTGACACCCGAGAAACAGCCATTGTCACTTCAATTACCAAATGTCTGGCTTTGGGATATTATCGACGAATTTGTTTACCAGGTAATAATTTCGTATTTATCTTGCTTAGTTGCTTTTCTTACTTGTTTGCTTGTAATTACTTATTTTAAAAGCAGTAAGAACCTGGGCCCTTTTTATATTGACCAGCAAATGTTTATTACTTGACATAGATTGAAATTGACAAGTTATAATTCAAGTCAATATCTATTGTTAGAGTTGTTAAAACCATTCATATTTTTTATTTTTTAGTTTCAAGCTTTCTGTCTATACAAAGCAAATCCTGGAAAAAGAAGTCCAGAAGAATACGAAGACCTCCTTTCGATTGAGCAGAATCAGAGTGTATGTGTTTTTATATTTGGCCCGGGAATCGGAAACTTATATTGTTCAACTTACCGATCACGTTTTAGGCCTGGAACATTTATCCGGTATTGAATATTCTGTACTCTTTGTTGGCAAAATCGCAGATCGACGAACAGTTGTTGGCTATACGGGAAGGAAGTAAGTAATTTTAATCAAATCAGTACTTGTGGTGTAAAGTTTTTTATTGCTGATACTTTTGTTTGATGAGGATTGCACGGTTAAAAATGCTGAGCTTTATTTTGTGATACGATATGATGTAAATTTCAAAGCGATGATTTTTTTTCAAAAGTTTCTTTTTTTTGAATAACTACAACAAACATGCAATTCAACAAATCGTATTGCTGAGTTTAGTGGAATTTGAGTAGTACTTTAAGAAATTTAATTCTTCATACGAAAATTGTTCAGGAAACCCAGATGATGTCGCAGATGATTTTGGCCGTTCTGCTTTATATTTTAAGCTGGGTTATTTCTCCTTAATTGGGTTGCTTCGTACACATGTGTTGCTTGGAGATTACCATCAAGCACTGAAAACTGTCGAAAATCTTGAGCTTGATCCAAAGGTATAACCAAGGGAAATACTTTCATTCATTTCCCTCTCTTTTATCTTATTAAAGATTTTATTGCACTCTTGTTGAAATACACTGTCAAATTTAATCTTTGAATGCGCATTCCTAACTGAGAATGAGGAAGGGGAGCTTTAATTCTTATTCTTCCACAATCGTCCCATTAGTTCCATCTCTACCATTCGATAAAGGATAAAGCAGTTGAAGTATCAAGCCCCATTTCGAATTCCGAACTGTCGAGACATAGGTTTTAATATACAATTCATTCCACACGGTTTGTAGTTATTGTATTTATACCAGTAGACTGAACACTCAGAGGTAAAGTTGAACAGACTGAACTCGTGTGCTAAGCTAAATTCAAAATTTACTGGAAAATTTGAGTTTTTGAAGTTTTATCTTCTATATTGCATCTTTTTTTATTTCCAATTTTCGATTTCGTCCTGATAATTTGAGCGAGATGTAATTTGTATTTTTTTTTTTACAGGGCTTATACAATACTGTACCCTCATGTCTGGTTACATTTCATTACTTTGTTGGCTTCTCCCATATGATGATGCGAAATTATGGTGAAGCTACGAAGATATTTGTAAACTGCTTGCTTTACATACAACGAACTAAAAGTGTTCAACAGCAAAATCAGCAACAGAAGAAGAACTTTCAGTATGATGTAGTAAGTAGCTGGTGTTTGTGAAAATAGTTATGACCGCAGCGCACTATGTTGCATGTCTACCTAAGTCAATACATTTACCTGTTACACTTACTTCCTTCTACGCACTTTTTTTGCTCAAAAAGATCTAACGGCAAGAATAGAAGAGACATCAACTCTCATGTCTCTGTTTATGTTGGTGTCACCCACAAATATACATTTCTTTTTTCGGGTGTTCATGAATTCTTTAAGAATCTTTTATAAAATTTCGGGTGATAAGTTTATGCTTTTTATTATTTGAAGCATTACAGATTGGAAAAACGAACGAACAGTTGTACCATTTGTTGGCTATTTGTTTGACGCTACAACCTCAACGCATTGATGATTCCATCCAGTCGCAACTATATGAAAGGACTGGTGAGCGTATGAATCACATGAGTAATGGGTCAGTTAAATACGAATTTATTGAAGTTTACGAGTTCAATTTACAGTCCATATTTTTGAGATTGTTTGTTTAAGAGCTTTGTAATACTAGTAGAATTCATTAAATATAAGTTGGAATTTATTCTTCTCTCTAAATAAATGTTATTCTGATAGTTAAGGAAAAAACTGGTTTTTGCATTATGATAGTAGCAAATGCATACATCATTATCATCATCATCATGATTAGACTTCGCGGTTGAAGATTTGGGAAGAGCTCTACCCACGCCCGTTACAAATACCACAACCCTTCCAGCGTGTGCAGTGAATTTTTTTGGTGAGGCGCAGCGTGCGTGGAATTGACTGGCCTCACCCTTCATCCCTAAAGTTCATCTGTCAAGGCCTAGCGAGCTAAGATGGTAACAGTGATATTCTCAAGACGTGATTTTGTGGAGTATCTTTCTGTTAGATGTTAGATGGATGGCCTTACAGGGCTTAACGAGCTCCATCTACCCGGGTTTGGAATTAATGTTGTTTTTCTTTGTTTTTATTTTAGGATAGTTGCCTGGAGAGGAGGAAAGGGCTAGCGAACTAATCCTGTCCATAGACGCACTTTGCCTGACTCTACGCAAGCTTTTTCCGCTGTCCGTGACGGTAGTATTAATGCGTTAAAGTGTAGCAATTTTCTTTTGCAGTAACATCGATGAGTTCCGCCTTGCTTTCCAACAAGGATGCCCGAAGTTCTTGTCCCCAACCACAGTAGTTTACGAAGGTCCAAATCAGGCAAAGGTTAATTTTCATACTGACGGATTTATAAATTCAAGAATCGTTTTCTTCCAGTAACTAATGGTAATGCATTACTACGGTATGCTTCACAATATTTTATTCGTAAGTCTATGTTTAACTTATTAGTGGCTTAGGTATAAAATCATGATTGAAGAAAATGTTTTATGGCATTTTTGACTTATTTCCATGTTTTTAGGAACCACTGCTCCGCCAGTGTAATGCTTTTCTAGAAGAAATTGAATCACAGATTATGTTGCCTATTCTGCGAGGTTATTTAAAATTATATACAACTTTGCCAACGAGGAAGCTTGCAAGCTTCATGGATGTCAGCGGTTTGTTTCTATCACTTTTTCTTCATGTGCTTCATTGTTTTTCACATTGATATTTGACAAATGAGTGACAAATGATAGGGAAAGTATGCTTGCACATCCCCAATTATAAGGGATCTAGGGTATTGACCATGTCAGCGAGTTTGGACAGGAAAAAGCTATGACTGTGTAACCATTTAATGTAGGTACTCGCATTAGCACTAGCAATCCTAGAAAGATACATATATCCATAAATAGACTTGAAGATTAGTTCAGAAGTTGAACAAAGTCAATGTTGTCCGGAGATATCAGTTAATTGCAGATGCAGATTATGACTCATTTGTTGGGAAATTGTTGAGTTTCAAGATGATCGTCAACGAGCTGGGCAAAGAATGTATGGATCGTTGTGAAATCGATGACTCAACGACAGATCTTGATTTCTATGTTGACAAAGTATGGCCTTATTTACCTCTTTACATTTTTGAATTTCAGTTAGGTTCCGAATTAAACTGCAGATTTCGTTTATTCGAAAATTGTTTCTTGTTCATTCCCTTCATCTCTAGGATATGATCATTATTGCGGACACAAAAGTTGCTCGCCGAATTGGAGAATATTTCATCAAACAAATACAGAAGTTGCAAGAGGTAAAAGATGTTTTCTATTTCTTAAAATGAGTTACCAAGTCCCGTATTTCGGAAATCCTTGCTCAATTTTCAGCTAAATTGTAACACTTATTGTAGGTGAACCGGAAGTTGAAAGAACTACCAGTTATTCCGGCGGCTTCAAGTTAATTTTTCATATTGTCAGATTATTCTAAATTTTCTTTGTTTGGAGTTCGAAATATCTTTTGTATCTTTTATTTCGATGGTTAATAAATTTTACCTTTTGTGCCATGACTGTACGCCTATGCAGTTATCGAAAAGTAGGAAAAAGCGTTTTTCCGTTGTAATTTTATTGAAAATGGGTCAAACGTTGAATAACCACTGTTAGAGGACAAGTTATTCTGAAGCGGATAGTATCGGTTTATGGATTTCATTTCGAGATACCACGTAATTTTTATGCCAAACCACCTACAGGAGTAGAGCTTGCCGTATGAATAAAAAAAATGTCAGAATTGAGTTCATTCACACATCATCTATATTCACATAGTCAACAAACAGAATAATAAAGAGTAGAAATATTTGGATGAAATGTTTTGTTTAAACAACATACGAGCATTTCCGGTAACATTGATGAGCGATAAATTACGAATGAAATCAACAGACTCATAGTGAAACTTCTTATATTTTCTACTGATAATATTTAATTCAAGCAGTAAGGAAGTAGCATGTGAGTCATTATCTCAAAATATCATAATTTAATCATCAAGCTGTCCTCAGTCCATTTCTGTGATATTATTTCGCAGATTTACTTCTCGGTTCATTTCTTGCTGTGTAAATTAAATATTTAGTTACACTTGGAATCAGAAGTGGAAATTCCTAATTCGGTCGATGAATCGAGTCTTCGGTAATTCAGGAGATGGGAATTTCTTTGCGTAGATTTCTGGGTAAGTCTTTTTGAACTGCAAAAATAAGAATTTAATGAAAGAGGACATTGAAAAAGAAAGTAATCGATTTGAATTCAACTATATATGCATTAACCTTCTTAAGTCGCTGACCTTCTTAAGTCGCTGCTTTCGGTCTACAATTGAAAGATTTTCGTCATTCAATATGTCATTCAAGAGGGATAGCAAATGACTATCAACATCTTGTTTTTGCGATTCATATTCTTCTATTTCGATTGGTTCACAGAAATGCTGCTTCAAGCGTTCTGCACCTGATGATTCCTCAGTAATAGATTGCTGTGCAGTTGGCGATTTCTTTATAACAACCTAAAATTTCTCTAAAATGTTAAAATATTTTCCTTTTCAGCATCCTTAAAACAAGCAAGTTGTAAGAATTTAGAATGACGAATTTCAGAACGAATATCGAAAATTTAATAAAATGCCTTTGAAATAATATTTTTAGATCACATTCGCGTTAAAAGCAAAATTGTATCGTTCTAATGAATACTTCGAATTAAATCCACCTCGTGTGGTAGTGAAAGCTGATGTTTGACCTCTGCAATGAATGCTTCTGGGATGGAAAACGTATCGCATTCATTATCCATTAAAAATATGACCAATTGATGGCATTCTGATGCGTTTATAGTTTGAGATGTACGCAATATCTTGTTCGGCAAACCTTCGAGAACCTGAAAAGCAGTTTAATTTTAACAAGTGGTATGTGAAAACTGTCCACTCCGTATTTAAATTCCCCAGCCATTTTTAGGATTTGACGCAAAAAATAAAAAAGTTATGAAAAGTAACGAATTCGAAAAACATGTGGGTTTTCAGGATAATTTGTTTAAAGACAACCAATTTTGTTATTTAGCTTGGTGAAACTCTTCTGAAATTTTCAAAGATCTGTCTAATTTCCGGACTATAATTTCTCACAATTGAACGGTTATCACGGCGTTTATCCATTCGCAAACAATAATTTCGGCTGACACGTTGCATAAAGCGCAAGAGATAGTGCAATCGACGACGAACACGTGGTTCCAAAGTTAGCATGACTAACGATACTGCTTGTTTCATCAATCTCTCATTTTCACTGTTGATTCCTATAAAAATGTGATCAATTTTAACTTCGATGGTTCTCTGACACCCAGGTAATTCTTCTAAAAAATATTTAAGTATATTTTACTGGTAAATACTTTTAGCGAACTTAATTAATATAGAAGAATACAAAATGAAACAAAAAGGGCTTGAGCAAATACGTATATGTTTACATATTTAAAAATATGTATCCAAAGATTTTTGAAGTCTAGTAGATCTCGAGGGTTTGTGTTCATCTCAAGTTATTTGAATTCATCAATAAAAATAAGATTAAAATACCAACCGGCGAGTAATACACAAGATTCTGCACAAGGAGTGCTTGAACGTGGCACAAGAGCGTTTGTTTTGGCCAGTTCCTCAATACGCTGCATAAGCTCGGGACTTCGTTGCAGACCTGGAAGCCGTGTTAAAATTGCTTCATAGGCCATTCTGCATGCTGAAAGAGATCTCGATAAGTAGACTTGAATAAACTGATTGTAACTAACTAAATTAAGCTTCAATCATATTGCATAAATTTAAGCAAACTGCTCAGAAACATCGATCCAGGCCTACATTGTTTTGTCACTTCGGGGAACAAAATGGTATTCTTAACGAATTTTCTGCATTCTCTGGATATTATTATGATATCGTTATGCTACATGAAGTCACTATCGCAAATGCCAACGATGTAATCCTGTTAGAAAAAAAAACAATATAATCGCTAACAATATAATTCTCCACATATTCCCTTCTGCATTTATCTTTTTTCAATACCTGTATTCTAATTATTTTCACAACATCTTTTGTTCACTCACATTAATTCAGAACTTACAAAAAGTTTCACTGCCTGCTGACAAAGTGGATACGGAAGAGCGTATAGTGTTTGGTGGTGACATGGCATGTTCCTCACCAATAAATCCTTTGCTAGGCGATACTGTTGTGCGCAAATTAGAACTTTCATCTTTTCCATCTATTTTACTATGAATCTATAAAAACACTTTGCATCCTTTTGTCTGATTAATGCAATATGCCAAACCAGTACTTTTGAAGCATTTCTAGCATAGTACGGAAAAATATATTGTACCTGAGAATTAACAGCCTTTTGCACGTAACGTGTAAATGGTGAACTGTCAGCGCAAAAAACTGTTTCCTTATGCAATTCTGCTGAAAAGAAAAGTACGGACTTGAAAACTAAATTTTGCATGTTTACGAAATTAAATGCAACAGAATTAAAAGTAAAAACAGTTTCATCGAACCGAAGAATTCGGAACAAAAAAGCGAGTAATCGCACTGAACAAAGTCTCTTAACTTAATTCTACAAATGCGAAAATGTTACCTGAGTTTCGTTGTTTAAAACTTCTTTGGCGAAACAGTTGTATGATGTGTAAAACCGACGATGCCACAACATTCGGAAGCATGGGACAGTCTTTATCAAACTGCTCACAAACACTTTTGAAAACATTCAATTCGAATCCTTCATATGGTACATGCGCGGATTCTACGAATTTTGTATCGAATGGCCATCGCGACAGATAACGCATCATTGTTATAACATAATTTGTTAGATAGTCTGTAGTAAAACAATAAATATAATTTTTGCCTATGTAATTAATTTCTACGTATTTCCTTAGCTTTAAATTATTAATGTATTTACTGGATATTACTTACTACCTTCCAAATAATTCATTAGCTTAGGAGAATACTACGACTACAAACAACTATTTGTTTGAAGGAATATAAAGTTTGCCTTCCACTAACTTATTATATAAATTTCAACAGGAAAAGTTTTCATCACAAGAGTATTCTTGATGCTCAGAATATTTATCACAGCAGTTGTCACTTCAAAAAAGAAGCCTTCATTAATCATATTCTTCAAATATAACAATACCATTCTCAGGTTGAACTCGAACTATTCCTTTCGTTCCGACCCGTTCGCAATTCCATCGAACATCCGCACCGCTGAAATCATAGTCGAGAATCCCCTTTAGTGAATCTACCTGAAGCAATGATTGCAACCTGAAATCAACAAGAATTTTTATGAGCGGTTCTTTGAAGTGATTAATGATTTCATCACTGAGTTTAACTAACCGATTTAATAGAACGTTTTTGTAGATTTCGCTGGCATCAAGGAACAGATGAGCACCACTATGTTCTTCATTGACAACCGCTCCTGGAGATCCAGAAGGCTGACAGCTCTCCGGAGTTTTGGTCTATAAAATAGTTTCCTTCTCCAATACTTATGATTAACTCCATTTTGAACACCATATATCCACATAGATGGCCACGGTTACAAATGGATGGTAAAGGAGGGAATAAAACAAACTCTTAGCTACCTGAATAATTTTTCCGAAATGTCGAAGGTTGTTCATTCCTGAAGAGTCGGCTGAATTACTGTTTACTTCGATTAACTTAGTGATCATCTCGTCTAATACATTAATCTGTTCTGATGTTCCTGCTCCAATTTCAATATTCTCTATAGCCACTTCATTTATTTTTTCCTGAGAGACGCTTCCTTTCAATATAATCTTGTTAGTTGATCTTCTTGATAATTCATCATTTAGATTCTGGAAAAACACTGAATTAGGGAAAAATCAAACCTAATAGATTTAAAAGGCGGGGATTTTAAACGAAACAGATTTAGAACTTTCTGTGAAGACTTGCCCGGGAGCTAAACATAGAAGGCAGGTTCCCATGGGATGCTGATAAACGACGAGAAAGCGGAGCATTCGGCTGCATTGAGGGAATAGGCATTCGCGCTGGTATCATCGAGTCGTTGTTTCGATTTCTCCAGACGTTATGCACCCTGAAAGAAAGTTTCCTGGATTATTAGATCAACTATTCCTCTCGTCAATATCAATCTTAACTCATCTTTTTAAAGAGATTCAGTCAACTTCTATTTCAAAACTTAAAAGAAAATATTCACTCTAGTTTCATATTTTTTGTTTTCCAGAAGAAACTTCTTACCTTTGTGGGGCAGTAAATCGAAAGTCTCTGTTCTTAGAACGATTATTTTGTCTGAAACTACATCTTTCATTGAATGAAGCGGCGCGGCGGACTAACACTGGTGTTGTAGGGAGTAGTTCAGGAGAAGTACATGAAAACCTGAGAAAAAGTTCAGTTATTCCGGTCTAAAGAAAGGAGATTTTTTCTGAATAACTTTATTTAAACGTAAATTAGAAAAGTTACCGATATAATTCACTTTCTTTGAATACTTCGTTATCATCGCATTTCCCACGCACACTACAAAATAACCCCATACTCATATAAATAGCCAAAAGTTTTGAACAACTGGATCTGAAAAACGGATATTTAATAAAATTTTTTTTCAGCTGCAACTTCTCTGTTAAATGGAATTTTCCATATTTTGAAGATAATACCTTAGAGCGTGAAATAAAATATATCCATTAAAATATTCTGTCAAATATAATTAACACTGAGAAAAAATTGATAAGGGAACCCTTAAAATAATCATTATTTTAAGGCTGAACACTGGATTTCATTTAAAATGTGATGATAGTATCTCACCTGGTTATTTCTCGACCGTCATGGATAAACTTCGGTAGCTCGTTCATCATAAAATCTACTGCCTCACGACCTGCAAAACAACCGTCGAAGATACGCAGTTGACGTCGATGTCGCTTTACAGGCATTCCATTTCGAAAGCGCCTTATCATACCATTCCACTGCGAACAAAAAGTAAAGTTTTATTATATGTTAGCATCCAAAGCATATAGTATTTATCTTGTTTGAAAATTTCACAATCTGAAATTCGACTAAAAACGAAATAGCCTGGAACACCAAATTCTAAGGCATGCTTAAAAATATTATGGTTTAGACTTTGATTGTTAGAGTGGGCAAACAAAAGATGAACAATATCAGTTCACACAAAGTAATGCATGTTTCAATCTACTGCCAAATTGAGTGATTGGGAAATCAGGACTGTTTGAAATTCTAACCCCCATATAGACTTATTGAATGTGGAGAAAATTGAGGAGTGAAGGATTGATAAGCATAAATTTCATTAGTTCAATTTACATTACATCGTCTATTTACTGTTCTGAATACGGATATAAGATGCACAAAATTAACTAACCACACGAGTTGCTCTGAAACGGCCCTCAAATAGAGAATCATTTTCTTTCGGACTTTTCATCGTGGACTCTGGGATATCACTATGATCAGCTGATACGCGAAATCCTCGAAGCTGTACGTGGCCGGTCATAAAATCCTGGAATGAATATATTAGAAATGGCAGAACAAGTAACAAACCTAAAGAAGAGAAGAAATAATGAACGTATCATGTCGACTACTCTTCGCATTTTCAAAAAAAAAGCAGAAAGAACATCACTATTCAAGCACTGAACGATGACGCTAATGTGAATCAGAAATGTTGCCTCACTTACAATTTGCTTTTGGAATGCTAGTTTTTCCTTGTTTTATATATCCAGATCCGACATACTTTCAGATCATTCCAAATTAATGAATATATTTGATGTACAAATAATTTCTAGATATATTTCAGAACGCATGAAATGTTTATATCAGATATCTATATTAAAGTTTGCAGGAACAATATTATTCCATATCGAACAGATAAGTTCAGAAACTTCATTGAATACTACAGTACGACTCGACTTCGAAGTATATTAATACGCACGGCCAGATTTCAGCCTAATTTGTCCATACAAACGGAAAATCCATATAACCAAAAAGAGCGGCCAAGAAGCCAATAATTAACAAAATTCAGGAATACTCACACTGCAAAAAGTAAACAAAAACATCGGGGGAAGCGTACTTCATATCGAACATCCATATTGCTTAATGCGCTTCCGGAATGGGGAAAACAGAAGGCGACTTATATAAAATAGAGATTTACATAAAACAAAAAAGCGCTTTCAAGGAATGCTGCTTGCCAGCAGTGCAAAAAATTTCAAGTTAAACCAGAATTGATGCAAATTCATTTCAAGGGTTGGTTATTCCTTCTATGATCACAACTATGGTTATAGAACTGGAAATATGATTTTAATCATGAATATGGAATCACGACAATGAATATAATGAATAAGAAACGGTGACAATAATTAGACATACATCAGTACTGTAATGACTACTGCGCACGCATATTTGCGCACATAAGGCGGTGGTACGAAGCGCTAAAGTTCAAATTTCAAAATGCCGCTTGCTGCTTTCAGTACTGTTGCAGCGCTATAGCAACAAATGGTGAATCATGAAACAATCGTCGGGTTTTATTCCGGTTGACATTCAGCTGTATTCTCCCGTATTTCAGCGATTAGAACATTCCTTTTGTCCCTTTCAATCCACTTACTCTTGTGTGTACCTTGCTTTGTAATTCCGGAAATTTGTAACTTCTTGAATATGTATATTGAGGGAAGTATTCATTAACTGACACTTCTTAAAGTTGATAGAATGTCGTGCGTTCAATAGTACAAATATTCGATCACAGGTATGTGTTATCCAAGGGCATCTGGGTAGTATGAAATAAGGATTGCATTAGGTATGTCACCCTAAATTCCTGTAAGAAAAAGAAAGCTCGCAAGAGGATATATCGTACGGTACATTGCTACCACATAGGTCATTGCATCATTTCTTCGCATATTTCTGTGGTGCATGTAGAGAGCATAGGGAAATGGGAGATGGCAGAGGAAGGGAGAGACCCTGCGATGTGGACGAATGAATGGAAGATTGCGCCTTCCCGTGTCACTTCATATCTGTCTGTCTACATTCCTGCAAGAAGGACATGGCAAGGTTGAAGGTTATGTTAAGGGCGTGTCTCTATACATTCATATGTCTGTCTGTCTGTCTTTGGTTGCTAGGAAGCCTGTCAACTTTCTCATCAGTTTAGTGAATCTCTGTGTGGTAGATTGGATGGCGCGCGGGTGATTCGATCAACAATTATCCGATTTGTTGCAGGCGCAAATAACTTGGTAAGCAATTTGTATTGCAGGTCCCATTTCGATCGAGGAAACTTCGTGAAGTGTTCAAGCCATGAGAGAAATCGTCCACGTTCAAGCTGGTCAGTGTGGCAATCAGATTGGTGCCAAGGTATCGATTTTTCAGCTGTTTTCCTTTATCCTTTAGGGAGATGACTCATCGAAGGAGATGACTTCGTCAGCTGTAATTTTCCTGAGGTATCTTCTCTCTTTCCCTCGTATCACTTCTGGGTGCAAATATATATTTCGCGGCATCACTTATTATTCAGAACTGTTGATAGAATTCCGTGTCAGGTCATAGAGATCAAACTATGGCAATAGCTTTCGTATGGTCTTTCCAGCACTCTAAAGTTAAAGATAAAATGTCTCAAGGGTAAATGTATACCACATAGGAGGTTTTACAAGTTGAAAATTTGAAGCCTCAAGTACAATTTTAATTTTTTCAGTTCTGGGAAGTGATATCGGATGAACATGGCATTCAACCTGATGGCACATATAAAGGTGATTCAGACTTGCAAATTGAGCGAATCAACGTCTACTATAATGAAGCGAATGGTTGGTCAATTATTGGAATTTTTTTCCCTGGCTTTGGAATGTTCTTTTTTGTTTTCTCTGCTAGCTGGTTCTGCACGTTTTCATACACTCACATAATAGTAGTTCTGCATACACATGCATACCACACATAGTCTCATATACAAACAGTTTCCGTCTGACACTGAGCATTAGTTCCGCCGATGGGGTTCATCAGGACGGCCTCAAAATAATGTGTTCGAAAATTAAATGGAGAGTGTCTGCGACTCTTTCCAAGGTCCACCGTGATGAGTTACATTTGGGACATAATTGGATGGGATGGACTAGATTAAATGAATTTAAACATAGGCTTGTATTTCCTCATCTTTTCGTTATGAGATTTAAAACTAAACCAAACAATCTAAGATATGATCCTGTAAATATGCTTCCTGTTGATCAACACTTATACCTGAATATCTGCCGTAATGTTTTGTTAGCAATATTAGTAGTGCAACTCGGTTCTAGTTTATTTTTTGTCTGTTCACTGTTTGGTAAACAGTAACGTTTTCCCTCAGGTTTTCTGTAACGCTTAGCTTGGTGTCAATACTAAACACCATCATAACCTTCAGTTCATCTCAGGCGATATGGTGAGGTTTTTTATATTCAGGTGGCAAATATGTGCCACGAGCAATTCTTGTCGATTTGGAACCAGGCACCATGGATTCCATTCGAGGAGGTGGATTTGGCCAGCTGTTCCGACCGGATAATTTTGTTTTTGGACAAAGTGGAGCTGGAAATAACTGGGCTAAAGGACATTACACGGAAGGTGCAGAGCTGGTTGATAACGTGTTGGACGTAATACGAAAGGAAGCTGAAGGATGCGACTGTCTTCAGGTGCATTTTCTTACAGTTTTATAAGGCATTTAAACTGTGAATTTAAACTGGTTTTGAATAGTGCAACTTCTTAGATAATCTAATGTTTTAAAAAAAAGTGTTTTCAGGGATTTCAACTGACGCATTCGCTTGGTGGTGGTACCGGTTCCGGTATGGGAACACTGCTGATCTCGAAAATCCGTGAGGAATATCCGGATCGAATTATGAGCTCTTTTTCGGTTGTGCCATCACCTAAAGTATGTATTTTTGAATTCTCATCGTTTTAATTTAATTTTAGTAGCTGTTTTATCCGCTCCAAAAGGCTCCATAAGTTCTTAGGGCTGGATATTGTCTCGCGAAATGGCTATTTCCATTTCGCCTTAAAATGTATAGTTGAAAAATGTGAGCAGCATATTAGATGGATTAATGGTTTCCAGGTATCAGATGTTGTATTGGAACCGTACAATGCAACATTATCAGTACATCAGCTAGTCGAAAATACCGACGAGACTTTCTGTATTGATAACGAGGCTTTGTATGATATCTGCTTCCGAACGTTGAAGTTAACGAACCCAACTTACGGCGATCTCAATCATTTGGGTTCTGTCCCTTCATTTATTTTTCGGGATTTTATTGTTAGAGTTCAGGTTTAAATTGCAATCTTTTCTACTGTTCTAAAAGTCACGTTTTATTTAGTATCTGTGACAATGTCCGGAGTAACAACATGCTTGCGTTTCCCTGGACAACTAAATGCTGATCTCCGTAAGCTCGCTGTTAATATGGTACCGTTTCCACGGTTGCATTTCTTCATGCCAGGATTTGCACCTCTCTCTGCCCGTGGTGCTGCTGCTTATCGCGCCCTTAACGTTGCTGAGCTTACTCAACAGGTCTGTTTATTCTTATCATCAAGGTTGCGAACATGATGCGTCAATCCCTTTTCGAAAATGTAGGTGTAATCCATCCATATTTTCTGTATATCTCTTTTATTAAATCGATGTTTATAACAATAATAAGCAATTTTTTCTGGGGCATTATATTTCTTTAGATGTTTGATGCCAAAAATATGATGGCAGCATGTGATCCACGTCATGGCCGTTACTTAACCGTAGCTGCAATGTTCCGAGGCAGAATGTCGATGCGAGTGAGTGCCTTTTAATAATCTTTGAGTTAAAGCTGAGTTCCTGAAGTATGAAAGGTTTTCATCAATATGGTGTTGGTTTTTCTTTGCCTTGACCTTAATCGCTTGGTCCAAATTATGTCTTTATTTGATTCACAGTATCTGCTCAAAACTACAGTTGTTTGATGATAACTTCTTTTTTCTTTTTCGCGTAGAAAAATTGTCTTTCTACTCTTTGGAGCTCAATTGATTTTTTACTTTTTCATCAATTTATTTTATTTAAAATTTATATGCATAAGTTTCCAGGAAGTAGACGAGCAAATGATGCAAGTACAGAATAAGAATTCATCATACTTCGTTGAATGGATTCCAAATAATGTAAAAACAGCTGTTTGCGATATTCCACCGCGTGGATTGAAGATGAGCGCAACATTCATTGGCAATACAACAGCTATACAAGAACTTTTCAAGCGTATTTCCGAACAATTCACTGGTGAATTGGTTTTGTTAATCTCATTTTATTTGAATTCACCTTATGACCATTACAGATTTCTTCACCATGTTATGAACTTTATGCAAAGGTATATTTACCATAACTCGGAAGTATTCCGCAAAGCTAAACTCAGTAAGGGAATAGCTAGGTTGATTTGATTTCTTATGATTTCAGCCATGTTCCGACGTAAGGCATTCTTGCATTGGTACACTGGCGAGGGCATGGATGAAATGGAATTCACGGAAGCAGAGAGTAATATGAATGACTTGGTGTCTGAGTATCAGCAGTATCAGGATGCAACGGCTGATGAAGAAGGTGATCTTCAGGAAGGTGAATCGGAATACATCGAGCAGGAAGAGTAAGCAGAAAATGATCAATTTTGTGGGAAAAAGACTAAACTATTCTAATATTTTAATCATCGCCTTTTCCATGTTTTCATGTTGTTACGACTATATTTTGTTACTTTTTGCTTTTGATAGTATAGTAGCAAGTTTGAAGAAGTTATAACAATAAATCTTATTGTTGTACTTCCCAATAAATTATGATCGAAAGTTGTGATTCTTATTGGGTTATACGAAGTCGTAACTCAGAATATCAACGTGGGAAAAAAAATTAGTTTATTGAGAAAGCACTAATTATGATTCTGCAGAAGTCGCAATTTAAAATTATTATTCATCCTTCTATAAAAGGTTGACGGCATTCCATGGCAAAAAGTGGTGCAAGAGTTTGTTGTTTCTTGGGAGAGGGAGCTGCGTTTTGTGTTGAAAATATACATTAGCCAAAGTGAAATTTCGTGATGGTTGGTGAGGAGGACACTAATGTGCGATACGATGAGTACCTTATTGGGCGGGACACGGAGTAAGAAGTAGTTTAGTAAACCGTACAGCGAGTGGATTGGTGGGATGTTTTAGTGTCATGTGTTAAGAGAAGTTGGTGAGGTAATTTCCGTAACTAAGGGATATCATCGGCTAATGTGATGTTTCTATGGTCTTTTTTTTTTTTTTGCTATGGCAAAGCAATGAAAGTCGGAGTTTAACAAGACGATCTGCTTGCGAAATAGCCCGTGGTCTATATGTAGCATATCGATACGGTAATATAGGCATTCCCGAAGTTCGCTTATTAGTCTAGTAACCGTTCATTGGTTTCAATTGCTGGTGAAACGGTTATTGATTGAAATTCTGACAATGAATCTATTAGCATAGAACATAATGTACTCTTGGAGCATCGTGCAAGAAGTTTGAAGCAATCAGTGATATCCACTGCACCAAATCCGTAGTCAGTCGAGTCAGCTGTGGTAAGTTGTATAAATCGTTTAAACCAGTGGTTCCCAATCTTTCCTTGACCAGACACTACTTGGACTTTTTTATTTGTAGCAGGGACCATAAAATTCAAAAATAACGATTAAACTCGAAGTGGCATCATCATAATGTAAAAAAAGAAGGGACATGAGGACAAAGTATAATCACAAAGAACAAAGTCAATTTTCCCCCTTCATTAATAATTTTCTATTCACCATGCCACTTTCTTCGCAGACGACATCTCCTCTATTACGTTGGCATGTACCATACCGCCACATAAAAGAGGATTTCCAGAGCAACTGCGGTACTTTAACATTTTAAAGTAACTTCTTATTCATTTCCAAATGTTTTGATTCTATTAAGATTTCAATTCGGCATCATAAATGAATCCGAAAATGAGGTTTTATTCCACGCGTCAATTTCAAAATTGATCCATTCTGTGCTCTATATGTAAACATTCATCTAGCTTCAATGAATTGATATCGTTTCTCTGTAAAGTTACTTTTAAAATTTCCATTATTTAATAAACCTTGTTGAAAGGTGAAAGATAACAGGAAAGTTGAAGCTTCTAATTATCATCCCATTATAGTACTAACAGTACTACGCTAATAACTGCTACTGCTAATAAACTAAAATTAATTATTGAAATATTTGGATTTTTGTCCACAATGTTTCATGTATGGTCTTTATAACTTGGCCTATTTTTTAATGAATAGGTGTAGCCTATGACAATGATTAAGAACCTGTATTTCTATAGGTTATTTCTCTTTAACTCTTCACTTTGTTTCATTGACTAGCTTGTCCTCAATCAGCTGCTAATACAGGACTTCCCCATGTCTCATCATCCTTTTAACCTAATCATCTCATCCATTACCTGTAATCTGAACTATCGAATGCCCATTATTATTCATTAGAAAAAATAATCTTTTGGACTACTTTTTCCAAATTTGTTTGCAACTTTAGATCAAAAACTTTTGTTAATCTTCGAAGTAAAAAAACTCTATTAAAACTAACAAAGACACTTTCTTCTTTTAATATCTATCTTAAAAATTAAGGTATAACTGAATGATCAGAGAGAATAACTGAGACATTCTTTATTATTTCGGAGAAAATCTCGAAGAAAACCCACCAATAAGCAAAACTACAGTGAATAAAAGCCTTTTTCACTTCCTTTTATAGTAACCTGTTTTACAATATTTCCATTAATTTTCGAAATGAATTAGTAAAGGAACTCCACTGTTCACCGTTTTTTTCATATTCTCGAAAAATTGCTGAAGTTATTCAACAGCAAACATTTTCAATCACATATAATTCAGTTCTTTCACTCAACTAGGTTTAATTCTAAGGTTCTAAGTTTTATCCTAAGTGATTTTTTGGTAATTCTAAACTTAATTTTCAACAGTACGAATTCGAAACCTAATACTACAGTATGAATTGATTCGAAATTGGTTATTTCACATTGCAACATATTGTGATATAGTGTACTTTCCAAAGCATTGGAAAGTTTTCCCATGACCTAAAAATTTTCTTATTCATTAACCTTCGTAACACTGATATTGGTTCTGCTTTATTAATGATGATTCTTGCATTAATTGTTTTAGCATCTAAAAATCATGCCATTGAATTTGTATTTTGCATATAGCTAAGCAAAATATTACCTGGCAAAGCAATCTATGATATCATGCTCAATCCGATAGCATTCAATGTTACAAAGAACATTTCTGGTTCTGCTTTATTATCAGAAAAGTCAAAAGAAGTAACTATCAGCTGTCATCCCATAAACATATGGTATCCATTTCATCTACTTATTATCGAATGAAAAAGGATCTCTATCTTTTACAAACTTATCACAATGAATTAATTCCCATTAACATAGTATTTCATTTTGATCAATTTATTAGCACAAGAAATTTAAAAAAAACATGTAGAATAAGTGCACTAGAATGAACTTCAAATTGCACTTCGTTTACAATTTTAAGTTCATCTTAGTCTGTTTATTCGACATCTTTCTTTTCTTTCTTAGAGTAAATTTTTAGTGCAAGTGAATTAGTCAAAATCAAACACTATGTTTAGCAGATCAGATATTATATGAATGTGCGAAAGTCGAAGTTGTTATTGAAATGAGAATAAAGAGAAGAAAACTAAAGTTTAAAAATAACCAGTGAGTGAATAAGGGAGAAAAAGTCCTGGAAAAAAAGAACGGCAAACCAAAAATTCTCACTCAGTTCAAGGCTTTTACTTGAACTGTAAAAGCCTTCTTTCTGACATAATTTCCATATGAAATTAAGAAAAAAATTATAAGAACTTCAAGGAATTTTATGTGTTAAAAAACCATATAGGAATTTCAGAATTGAAACTCGCAAAAAGCAACATATGTAAAGTGTGGAAACACTCGAAGACTCTTATTCCACTTATTGAAAAACAGCACTTAGTCTGCTAAATCCAATCTTCCAATTAAAGAATTCGAATAATTTGCATCTTCTTATTGTACACTTGGAAATGTGATTCTCCCAAATTTATTCTCGTACCCTGCTCAAACAGATCCATCATCATTTATGACACCTCTCACAAAGTTTCTCATGTACCCGAAATTACTCCTAATCCTCCAACTTCTTTTGCATCTGTATAAGCTAAATGAAGCATTGAGTAAAATCTGTTGATCTAACGAGACAAAATACTCATCTTCCCTATGAAATCTTTTAACAAAAGCTCATGAGATTGTTCAGAAAATATCAAGCATAAACAATACACTATACATATATGACGCGCTCCTGCTAACGTTTCTTTTATTACTGCTTCAATTAAGCTTTCCATTCAATTCAATGTCTCATAAAAATCTCCAGAAAACATTAAAAAATATATACATCACATAAGTTCGCTTACCAAGATTTCAAAATAACAATTCAGCCAGAGTAATATGAGCAGACACTACTTAAATCAAATTACGTTTTTAAACATGTTATCCAGTTCTTCCAGATTGTAAAAATTTTAGTGCCTCTCAAATTACTCGACTTTAGAAATCACTCAAATCATGCAGATTCTTTGACCAAATAGAAATAAAGTCAACGAAAACTTCAAATAACTGAAAAGTTCTAGAAATCACCATTTCCGTACTATATCATGTTTCCCCAACAAACATACATAAGTGAGAAATACAATCGAAATGAATCCAAGTGAAAAATTCAATAGAAAACCCAAGACCCTTCCTCTAACAATGTCAGATCAAGAAACTCAAAATCCTGTCAACCGATGAAAACTAGATGCAGTTCACCGAATGTTCAAATGAATCAAATCTGTTAAAAAAAATAACTAAAATTAATGGAGATTGAATCCGATCACAAGCATTTATAACAATTTCCGACAAAATTATTAAAAACTCCTACCATTCCTTTCACTTTGATCCATAAAAAATCACAAAAGAATCTGAGAAACAACCTGCGCGTGAAAAAAGAAGAAAAGTAATACTGAGAGAAAGGGAAAATTTTGGTCTTTTATAAAAGGAAATCTTTCATAGACAGGAGATTAGAAACTTGTTGATCCCACGTGAACATGTGATTTAAGGCTATTTAATTGGAAACATCTATTCACGCCTACCAGCATTGTACTAATTTGTTTTCAAAAGATGATGTAAAAAATTACTTAAAAAAGGCACAGATAAAATAACGCGATTCGAACTGAGCTGCAGAAGGAAAGTAGTAAAGATCATGTATGCAAAAAGAAAAGAGAATCAGTAAAGTACTGATTAATAGGGGGTTTATAAACGACAATATTGTTTGTTACTAGTAAATGGCTATATTTTGTTTCAGAACAAATTATAACAAAGAAACAGATACCACCCCATTTAAGAACGAATCGGCTTAAGAATCTAAGAAGTATTACTTTTTAATCGACTGGTTTTTTAACTAATTTTTTAATCGGCTACAGTCAACTAACAATTCCAGATTTTATTAATTCCAACAATGTCACATGATTTTAAACATTTATTTTTCCTTGATGTTCCCAACAGGTGTTTATGTAAATGACCTTATTTTTACGTCAAATACGTTGAAAATAAGGATTAGACAAGTCGAACAAATTATAAATATAAATTAGGGAAATAAATCGAATAAATTATGAGTATGGATTTCATATACAATTGATTACCAAACTTAACTCCACATTCAACAGTAATGTTACCATTTGAAAACGTCTTCACGAAATATTACAACTGGAAAGTATTATAGAATTTGTAAAGTACAAAAGGAATGAGAGATACTTTTCGAAACTTGCTTATATATAAAGGACGAGAAAGCTCAATTAATACTAGTGTTTGGGACGTTTCCTACGTTTTCGATTCCGATGAGGATTATCCGCAGCTGCAATAGGATCTTCTGCCATAACTATTCCTACTTCTTGTAAGGTTGCATCAGCTGTGATCCTCCCAATTTCTGATTCTTTATCATCTGGTCCATCGGCGGTTGCTCTCTCTTTATTTTCAATTTCTGTCTCTTTCATCTCAGCTTCGCACTCTTTTATTTCACTTGCCACCATTTCAATTGCAAATTCATCAGCCTTTTTCCGCGCTTCTTCCGAGTAATACCTAGCGAAGGCATGCTCGTTAGCACAACAAATCATTGCATCGTACGTATGTTGCAATAACTGGAAGATGATGAAATTTGCGCCGAATAAAAACGAATCAATAAAACGCAAATTATTTTTGAATCCGAACACTCGGAAATATCAAATTTAATTCCGCTATCCAGTCACGGTTTCACCATGTAGTATCCTGAATCTAGTCACTTTAACTTCGGAAAATTTGGGTTTCTTTAATACCTTATATCGGAGTTTCAAAAAAAAAAACTCCGATATTGAGAAACCTATGATCACGTCTCACCTGCGGGAATCTATCTGTGAAATAGGTAACAAATTGATCAGGAACTTGACCGAGCGATTGTTGCACTTCTGTAGGTAATTCCTGATAATGATGTTTTTTGTTCCGCATTGCTCGCAATAGGTCTCGAACTTTATTACCCTTATAGGTTCGGAATTTGCGTAAATCTGAAACAAACAGGCTGGAGAACAGAAATACAAACTTGTCCCTATTAATACAGAAAACAGTTATATCAAGATGAATTTTGAAAAGTAACAAAATACGTGAAGAATTCAATTTCCGTAGTTTTTCCCAAAATTAAGTTTCATGTTCAATTTTGCATAAATCTATTATTTGTTATTCAATCACTAAATGCACGCGCCTTAAGTGCACAGACGCATAAATACTTATGATTCAATGGAAGTATTCGCGAATTCAAATTAAATATTTGAGTTTGAACAATATGCTGGAATCTAAGTATCACCACAACGAGTTATACGCAACTCAACACCACCCATCTCATTTCACAGCTACGCCAGGGACACGATGAACCATCAGTTTGTGAGCTTTCAAAGATAATTCTTGCTACTCTTGAACATGAATTAGTAATTACAGATTTTCAGTAAAAGTTTGGGAAGGAAAACAAACAAACCAATTGCAAGAACGGGGCAAATAGCTTGACGCCAATTAAAACCGATAGCACAGCGAGCATTTTCCTCTATGCGACGTAATAAAAAACTATTTTCACTTAATTTTTCGATGCGATCGCTGACATCCTAAAAAGAAAAAATTTTATAAATTCATTGGTAATATTAAATGAGAATGCTTCGAATATTGGTCAATTCATTGTAAGTAGGAAAATTTAAGCTTTGTCCTATTCATCAACTTAACAATGTTTAATTAGGTATGATGATGGCTGAAATGCCAAGACGAACAATGGATCGGATAAGCAAAGGTAATTTATGCCGGCTTCATAGCCTAGACCATGATCTTATGCGACGTTCTTCCAATACATCAACTAGATCAACCTACATATCTCACAAAGCAGTATAATTTACCGGAAACGTGAGGAATGCATACCATGAAAAACCTAAGTTGATGTTCTTTGTTCCAGAAAAATGGGTGTATTGCTAGAGTACTTGACATCGGACGAAGCAATGGATCACGTCGCAGCGTCGCTTCAATCAGCTTAACTGCCATCAAGTTACCTGCAAAAAGAAATTTAACGAGTTTAAAATATAAAATATAGTACGCAGCGGTATACCCAAAAAGCGTTTAAAAAAGAAAACAGCAAACTTACAGATCAAATATTTCATTTTATTTTAAATGCACTACAACCTAATGAGAAAATGAAGTACAGTTATAATTTTACTTGAACTTTCAGATGTAATTTTTAAACAAGGCATAATATAGTTAAATTAAAACACGAACCGGTTGTAGTCAGTAATTTCAAGCTATATTCTCCTTGCATGATATTTGCTTGTCGTTTCAACGCATCTCCAAATGGATGATTTCCATTTGTTAATACATAATAGTAAATACAGCCGAGCGAAAAGACATCAACAGCGCAAGTCTAGAAATTTTAAAAATTAAGAGATCAATAAACTAAGGCTTTTTATAAATCTGAAAACGTAACATAGTAAATTTTAAATGTCGCTTAATTTCCTTTTAATGGGTGACTCCTTACTTGATATTCTTTATGAGGCTTTAACTGAATAATCCTAGTGCAATGTTATATAGATGTGATAAATGTAAATGAAGATTAATATTTTAAATTACATCATTCTTCTTGCAAAATCAAACCGTTTCAAAAAATCCTCAAAAAAAAAGGAACTAAGATATAAGATTTCGTCGTTACCGCTTACAGCTTTTACAGCTACACTGAAATCCAGCGGTAAAAACCTTCCAACAGAAAACTGCCGTTCATTGCAGCACGACTACTTGTTCAAAGAGTTCGCAAATGCAAATTTGCCACTGGATTGGGTAAAAATCTCAACTACCAAATTTCACGAAAATTCTGGGGGACTCTGGCAACAAAAAACGGAATGAAGAATAAAATACTTACAATACTTGCATCTGATATTAAAGCTTCTGGTGCGACCCAACCATCAGTGCCTATAAGACCAGATCTTCGTGATAACGAATTACGACCTGCTTGAAGTCTCTTACAAAGGCCAAAATCTGAGATCAACGCTCGTACTGCATCTTGCCTGGCACCTCTTGATAGCAGTACATTTTGCGGTTTCATATCACGATGCACTACAGAAAATCGCTAATTATTAACTACAGAAACAAATTTAAAATTCCAAAATTCCATATGCGTATACATGGCAGACAAGGAACCATAAATAATTCAGTCAGTTTTGAACGAGAACGATAATGTTAAACAAAGCATCCGAAATTATGGCAGATAAAGTTTGTTAATCAAAAGCAATGAAGAAGTCGATAAACAACTTTCCATAGAACAAACTTGTAAGAATAGGGACATGTGTTGAAATTACCGAAAATTTTTAAAGAAGTGAAAATGGACCTATGTTTATACTGTGAAGATACGCAAGACCTTCAGTTGCCTGATGCAAAATTTCCAATGGGATAAGGGGACACTGCTCGCGAATTTCCTTTCTTTCCACGTAATCGAATAGTGAATAATCACATAACTCCAATGCAATATAGCGAAAATTGCTGTCAGATTCCTAAAGATTATGGACATCATAAGAAAAAGTAAATATAATATATGACGGAGTCCTATGATTGAAGTATGGGAATCACAATCACTAGAGAGGGTTTAAAATAAGAAACAATTTAAGAGAGCTGGAAAGTAAATTGTACCAACCATACAGAAATATCTGATAACATTTCGATGAGCATCGCTTTCACGTAAAAGATCAACTTCACGGTCTGCAAGTCGAATATCAGCAATAACCCGTTTCACAGCTACTTCTCTACCATCAAATTTACCCCTGCAAATCATATTTTGACTCAGATGTGAAATTCTAAAATTTGCACATTACATCAGTTTTATAAAATTTAGACATATTAATCGGATGTGTAAATCGCAGTTTCGAACCAGGACATGCTATACTTACAGAAACTACAATCAAGTTTGCTGGAGAAAACGATCCGAGCATTAACAAAATCATAAGGACGATAAGTGTTTCAAGATGCCCATTATTGATCCCTGTCATGTATTGGGATCTTCATCAAATGCTTATACTGAATCACAGGAAAAACTCAATGGATTAAACTTTTAACCTGAACACAACAGTTCCTTCGCATCCATGTCCAAGACGATCTTCCGGATTATACATGATATTTCCGGCTTGCAGCCAACCATGCGGCAGCCGTTGAAGTTGCCGTGCATACCAAAAATTTCGAAAATTTTTCGATGTTTGTGCGTAGTTCGTTCGTTGTTCCGGTGAATTCTCCTGTTCATTGTTCCGCAGCTGCAAATGGTGAAACACCTTCAAAACTAATGAACACGAAGAATTAGGCAATTAGATATGGTCGAATATGCATCGAGATCCCACATATTTCAATTTCTCGAAATCTGACAATATTTATTTTTTATTGCTTTATTACTTATCCCACTATTTCTGGTATTCGGTAGTTCAATTAAGCTTAGGATCAGTATTTCCTTACTTCACTCAAATGAAGAATTCAAATACCGTTCACAAAACGAAGTACAAGAGGCAAAAAAAAGGAGAGTAGCAAAGGAAATTGTTCTGACCTAAATCTCTGTGAGAGTAATTTATGACGATTTTTATAACAGGAGATTTCTGTTCTGATCCTATTGACCTTTGCACTGTTTCAGTGAGATTTATGTTTGCTGATTCTGATCAGCTAATTGCTAAGAATTAAAAAAAAAAAAAAAAATCTGGAAAAACTGGTGATTCACTGAACAACTTCGGCTATGTTTAGAAGAAATCACAACGAGCAGAGAAATGATAGAAATTTTTCTAATTAAGAATAAGCAATATAATAAAAAGAATAATTGTAATTCATGGGAATTTTCCAAAATTCTTTTGCTACGGAATGCTTCAATAATCCGATGAATCCATCGATCATGTTCACTCAACAACCTCCTGCAGCAAGAGGAAAAGATCTGTCATATATTGACAAGTTTAATTTTTTTAAATGTTTTGGAAAATGCAGGAGAAGCAATAAGTCCCCTCAAATTACAAGTGCTTAACTGTTATTTAATGCGGCAAAACTTAGCTCTTGTGAAGACAAACAGCGACAACGATTAAATTAATCGGTTTTTTGCAATCATTTTGTGAATTTTGTGAAACACTAAAGCTAGAACTGAGACAGTTCTCTTTTTAAACTTTTAAAAGTGGCTAGAATTATGGTCAGCTTGCAAAACAATGATGGACAAGCAGTTCATCCGCGATATCAGAAATTAAACCACTTGTTATTCTTCTTAAAAGGCAGAAAGCTCATGCAGGAATACAAGAACAGATGTTCATTCTGGAAAATTACAAAATAGTTCTGAAAATCATCTGCTGAAGAAAAGGCCTCAAAATGACCATCAATTAAAAAATTGATAGATAAACCAAATAATATCTGCAACTAGTCCATTTGCAATATCTGCATGTCTGCAACCAATTCATGAAAATTTGAAGAGAATCCTATGATAAAATATCCACAAATGAAAGCTCTGCTGAAGGAAAACTTTGTAGATGGATTCTGTTCAAAATTTGTAACCTGGAGAAATTTGATTTACAAAAAAATCGTGTAAAAACATCGGAAAGAAAGAGATTTGACACTTGATTAGCTACCACACGGAAAGAATATCCCCAAGCAGCTAAACTCATTTAAGAGTGATCGACATAGAAGTATCTCAGATACAAAATATTTATCCTAGCAACAATATATAGACAGGAGAAAAGTATTTAAAAGCAACCGTGCGCATTTTTTAGACGAAAGAACGATTTTTTTGCGGATTCCTGACAGGAATGAAATGAATCAATGGGTCAAGTGTCTAGGTCACAATCATCAGAACGAATCAAAAAACACTGGAGACATCTTATTACAGAAGAAATCACATGTTTAGTGTGATTTCTTCTGTAATAAGATGTTTTCTTCGCAAATATTTTCCTCGCAAATAAACTTCGCAAAAGTTTATTTGCGAAGAAATCGCAAATAAAACTATTTTAATTCATAACAAAAGATGCAAAACACACCAGAAACGATGAAATATGAAATTGCCGGTACTTTACTGAAGAAGTCATAAATCTTTTTTAAAGAGAACTTAATTGAAACGTCATGAAGCAATAGCACGAATGTAACTGCAAAACAAAATTACACAATGTACACATCTTACTGTATTTAAAGATTTGGCCAGAATGCTATTTGAATCGACGAAAGCTGTATAATTGCAAACCTAAAAAAAACTAAACATACTGACGAAGAGCAACAGAAACAGAGCAATTTTCCCACTTGAAGCTGTAATCATCACTTCGTAATTTAGGCTTATTTCCTGGAAAATTCAATTTACGACTAATAAGTGCCAAATAGGTAATCTAGTTACGGCAGAAATGGACTGTTCAACTTACATGCTTCACATGCACCAATAAAAATGAAGACTGATTATGATCTGCCATTGATAAGTTTTATCAATTGTTTGCATTCACAACTTGATAGGATGATGGTGGACGAAGCAGCTCAATTTTTTCCATTGCAAAAACATGATCATTTAAGTTTTCAAATTCTGAAGTAAATTACATCGGACCGAAAAATCACGTGAATTGATTGATGCAGACTAAATAAAAAATTATATTGCAGAAATAGAAGCTGTAATGAATTCTAGAACATATCTTAATGGAATTTGAGATATATCTTAATGGGACATATCTTAATGGAATTTCATTAAATGTAGCTTGCATTGCGGATGAAAATGAAGCTATTGGTGATGATTACACTGAAAGCCTGCACAAACCAGAAATGCGTCGCAATTCGGAAATGGTGGAAAAATGTTGAAGAAAATGAAGACAAATTCTGGCAACAGGAATATTTTCCATTGTACTGTCGCAGACATGCTTGTGTCATCGGTACAATAAGAGAGTGTTGCAAAGTAAGTTGGATATTACGAGTATAATAATTACTGGTGAACAAAACCAATGCCATCAATAAAAATGTTTCAACTAGACTCATCAATCAATTGTCACCTCTAGAGAATGTTATTCAATAAACATCCTATCCTAAATACACCATGAGCAAATTTTGTGCCAAAGAACGAAAAGAACTATAGCTTTCCATGTTTCGCTTAGCCCACTTTTTTTTTAAAACCCACTTTTTTACATCGTTTTTTTTCTTGTTTTCGTTTCTCCGTAAAAATAATTGAAAAATCTTGTAACCCATGATAGTTACTTACAACTTGGTTTTGGGAAAATAATGGGACGTCAATGATTCAGCAATACTGGGTCACTCTCTCCCTGTACAAAGATTAGCGCAGAAGTGCTGGATTTACCACTTATTTTTTCCTGATGATTAATATGCATTATTTGTAGTTCTGGATTTTAAAAATATGCTTTTAGCTCGTTGAAACCGAGAAACTATCGGTCCTAAATTTTACTGAAATGTCTAAGAGAAAAAATTCCATGATTGCAGGCAGCACTTTTTTCTTCTATCACTTTAATGAAACCTATTCTGTCAACTAAATGTTGTTGAACCTTAAACAAAAGCTATTCAGTGAAAACACAAAGGTTTCAGCAACACGATGATACTTCATACTTCAGTTATCAATCATTGTCCCACTGCTATTCATTTATGATGATATAGCAGAAAAATAGAGGAGATAATATGCGATGGGACTCAAGATTAAAAAATTAGTGACCCAATACAACACAGCAGTGCTATTGGTCCGATAATTGAAAAAGCATATACTGATATGCTGGATAAACGGAAATACGGAAAAGATGTCAAAGGACAAAAATTCAAGCCTTTTATCTAAGGTATCCATGGATATAAATTCTCCTCTTTAGTCCCAGAAACTTTGCAACATTTTAACTGCAAAGTCTCTTCTGATTCTAGACTCTTCTGATTTTAAGTGAAGCTCTACAAAATATGTCCTGGCATGCTCCGAAATTACCCAGGCCTTTATCAGTCTTCCACTCGAAGAGGTGCAAAGTAACGGTACCAACAAAAAAGCCGATTTCAAACAAACCTTTTGCATAAAGAACCAGCAGGTGACGGCAAATATTGTAGTAAATGAAATAACGATGATTATAGCCAAGTGATTACTTTTCCATAAAGCATATTCATATTTTTTTCAGTCAGAACGGACACCTAAATCCACAATCCATGAAATTTAACAAAGGTTATACATAATTTTTCTAAAAATAAAATATTTATGGACTAGACTTCGCTGGTTTGTTTGCGACGCTTCACTGCAGAATTCGCCACAGACAGCAGGTAAAAATTTTCAAAAGAAAGAAAAGGAAAAACAGATAATGCTGTTTATGTAAAATTTTTGAAAAATGAATAAAACTTCTTCGGACTGCATGTCTTTCGTAACGAACGGTAAGGAAGGATATCGCTGCTGGCGAAAAATCCGTTGTGGAATGAGTTGTGACTGAATCAGCTGAGGCGGTTCGTGATAACCTGCAAAAGAAAAAATTAGCAATTTACAGTTATCATACTAAATCGTAAAACCGACAAAATAAAAAAATTATAGGAAAATGAATGAATGTATCTTACAGAGAAAACCCAACTTACGAATCGGACCAAACCAGAATAAATGGCGATTCGAAAATAGCTATCATAGAGACTTTATCATCCCCACTAGTTTTATCACTTTCAGTGTTTATAAATAATTTGATATGAAACACAAACCCAATACTAAGAATTCTCCATCGACTGTCTTGTGGGTAATTTTTGCTATATCTAAATTGATCAAAGCAACTTTATTAGCAATTTTACGATGAGTAGATGGATTGTTTGGCGCCTGATGATATTCATTCTGAAAAGGAAAACAAAGCCATTTTGTGTAACAGAGGGGATGAACTTTTCTTGATAATCCGATTTTTCTGCAAATTCTGGAAAGACCTAAAATTCTAGTTTCACTAGCTACATTATTTCCCTAAATAAAAAATTCAGATTAAAAAAAATATTGCAAACCTCGACTACGATAGGTGTTGGACCTTCTAGTAATGGTGGACCGAGATACTTCGGTACCACGGTTATCGTACGACTATCTATAAAAGCTTGCAATGCAAAAAGTCCATAGGTGCTTTCACCAACATACAACGTTTGGAAAAGATTTTGAGAAGTCGCTTCCACGGACCGTGCTTGGTAAACGCCATCGATCCACGCTTGGATCCCATTTTGTTGAGAATGCTGCAATATGCTACTTGTTTCACAGCAAAACAACTTTCACGACAGATTAATTTACAGAAACTTGCAGTAGGTCCTTCAGAATACTCCATCCTATATCTCCTTAGTGATTTAACTATCTCTACTTCTTTGGTGAAAAAGTTGAATGATAAGAATTTATGTTAGTTGACTGACAAAGTGGATCTTCTTTTTTTTTTCTCAAATAACTATCAAACACCTTTTGACTTAATTCTCAAAGAATGCAACAAAACAACCAGACGATACTACAACCAAACGTAATGTGAAATCCTTTTCGTGCAGTGTTTGAAACGATCAGAGATTTTAATGAAACTTATACAGCGAATTGTCAAAATTTCATAACGCAAATCTTCCTTTAAAAGATAATGATGAAAAATTATAGCAAGATATCTATATATTTCTAAAACTACATTTCCAATCCCCTATCTTCAGTAGACTTTTTCATCTTTATCTTCCCCACTGTTCCCAAATTTTTAAAACGGATTTCTCGTGTTCCCGAAATTTAAGTCTGTAAATTCCATTAAATTTAATCCCGAAATTTAAGCAAAACCGTTACGTTAACCGCACAACCTGTGATTCCTTACCGGCTTCAAATTAAAACGAAAAAATGAAAACGGTTCATGTAATTATATTAATTTCTGGAATTATTAGATTAGAGGATTTTTATCATCACCATTAATAAAGTAAAATAATACTAAATGTTTATTTATGGGACCAATAATAATTGCAGTCAGGCCAAAGGATAATAGGAATTTCATGAAATCATTGTAATATATTCCAAAATGTAAGAAATTTAGTTGAAAATTTTGGATAACATCAGATTATCAGATTTCCCATCTTAATTCACGTACAGGATTCGTAGTGAGCTTCAAAAACTCTTTCCAAGCTTCCAAACTTATGTATTTCGATAGTTTAAAAAATGACAAGGAAAATGGAAAAAAAGGAAAAAAATGTAAAAAAAATCAAGGACGGCTTTCCAAAAAGTATGGCTCTACATATTTAAAGCAAATCACACATTTATTGCTATGAACAGTGCTCGTTATTATTTCAGCGAAACAACTGCTGTTCATACATACCACAAATGCGCACTGGACAAATTCGAGTATCAAGATTAGGATGTACTTAGCTTAGACAGTATCAAGCCAGCCATCAAATCATTCCGCTTGAATTTGGATGAATCACATTTTCCAGAAGCCATCTGTCGTTGAGATAATGTTTTGATCGTAACCGACCAAAACCTGTCAGTAAATGGTTAATAGGAATTCTTTTAAAAAAGTTATGAAAAATTTTTACATCATTTAAATGATATCTTTTCTCACTAGTTACTTCTTTTCTCTGTGGATCATCGTTCTCTTCTTTCTGATAACAATGTAAACAACGGCGAAAGTTAACATGAGGAGTGTTAAGCAAATATAATTAGTCCTGTAGTGCATTCCGCCTTAAGCTCCTCCAACTGCTACTTGTGTAGTGGTAAAAAAATTGTGAGCTAGATCTGTTCAGTTCTCTAATCTGATAGCACATTATTGTCTTACTACACTGGTGCAATTCATTTTTTTTTCAATCGAATTAGTTGACCAAATCCCACCATTTCCAATAATATTGTTCCTATATTTCATTTCAACTGTCCACTAAACCCGGTTATTACCCTAAAGAATTTACTGACCATGGTTGAGAAGTTCTTTCCTCAACGAATTACAGTTTCTATATGGGATGTAACCGTCGGATTTTTGCAAGAAACAAATCAAAGAACGCGCAAACTAAATTAAACAGAAATGGAGGTTTGTTACTAATTTGAATTATCATTTATTAAAAACTCACGTTATCCAAGCTAAGAACACTTATCACCTACCCGCTTCTACCAACTCACCAGTTACTCGCACCAATTTTAATTATAAAAGAAAAACAGAGATAGACAACAGCTCAAAATGAATGTTGGAATGCCTTATTTTGAGAAGCGACGATGATAAAATGTTTGCATCCCAATGATAATCATAACTACTTATTCAGTGTCGATTATCGTTTGATGAATTGGAGGTACTTCATTTCAATATACTCATGAGTGTAAGCTTAAGACCACTGGGAGATAACTTTGCATGGATAAATATTTGAATTATTGCGTAGCGAAACGCATTCAAGAGAAAACCTTAATTTATTCCAATCGAATATAATACCGTACCTCAACAAAGACTTCACAAAATTTGAAAATTGGAAAACGTCTTGATGGATTTACTGAAAATCTTCATTCCCCAACGCTTTAATTTCCCGGCACTTCATTTAAACCGTTATTGAGTTGAAAACAGTTTAAAATCTATTCAAAAGCTTTTAAGTGCAGAAAAATTTGTGAAATTTATGTTTAAACGAACGGAAAATGAAAAAAATAAAAATAAAAATAAACAAAATTAAACAGGTAAAACACCAGCACAGCCGCATAATTCATCAAAAAATAAAATAAAATAAAGATAAAACAACTGTAAAGGATATACGATGGAAACGATTCTAACCAAAATTTAAACAAGTTTCAAAAGAACACTATTTTCACTTTTCTCTAGCCTATTTTTTGCAAAATTATCGAAATTTTTCTTTCCGCAAAACTTCGCTTACAGGCTTTCTCAAGTTTCTGATAAGATGTTAGTTGTCAGATTCAAAAAGTTCCATTAGCACACCTCGCTTTTTTTTTAAACCTTACCAACCATGCCCCTTTTTTCTTGCTCTCATGCTCTAACTCTGTTATCTATTTTTAAGAATGATAATATATAGCCAATTATGTTCAGTTGTTCACACATAACTACGGTTAAAATTATCCAGTATTATTAGGCCATTCATCGCGACACAATTTCTAGAGCGATATCGTATCCCAGCATGATTAGCAAATGACTAGTATGAAACACTACTTTATTAGTTTGTTTCATATATATACCTGTTGTGCTTTCCACGATCCATCCGTCGCTACTCCCAACTTCTAACCAAGTGTCGCCTTTGGATTTTCTGCGAAGCCATACATACATCTTTCATGTACCGATTTTAAGCGTAAATATGCAAATTAAAAGGAAAACACTAGCAAACAAATGCTGCATATTGCAGGAATCATCAATGTTACAGCAAAAAGAGAAAGCTGACTTCAGGACTGGACGGTCAAAATCCATTTATAAAGAACTGGCTTGGAATCATTTGCGACGCATATCAAGAGGAGGCGGTATGTTATCAAAGCAACATTCATTACAGATTTTTTTAGGAAATTAAAAAAAAATGAAATACATATTTCCTGAAGTAGCAATAACTGGGAACGGCAGCAGTCTACGCCAGCCTACTGATGATGAAGGAAGTAAACAATTATATATATATATGTAAATATGTACTCAGGATTTTCCCAAGCTGGATCTCAATTTTGATGACTAGCAAAAGTAATAGGAAAAAGAGTGAGAAGACGCAAATAGCATAGTACTACAAAGTTAATTTATAAAGCAAAAATGTATGCAAAAGTTATCAAGTCCGGAAGCTTGCTGGAAAAAGCATTAAGACTTTTCTGGACTACATAATTTTTCATACGATACTGCTTCATTTTTGTGTACATTTACTATTCGAAACACCATCTTTTTTCATTCTCATGTCTAAATGTTACGATGTAACAACCGATTACTTAGAAATTTTGTACTCAATTTTAAACATCTGTGAGCAATGATACATCAAATAATAACTTTGTCCTTTTTAAATTTTTAAAGTCTAAATTAAAGTTTTGGAATTTAATTAAATTAAACAAGCTGTAAAAGGCTCAATTTTATGGCATGAAAATTAATTTAAAACCAGGAATACTTCAACTAAAACATGGAAAGATGCAATCCAAAAAATATATATACGCATGCTGTAACATGTAGAATGGTACTGTTTACTAATCATAT